ATGTTTCTTTCCCATGGGATCTTCGATCGGCTCTCCGAGTCGCAACGTTTGCTTCGAAGTGAGCCAAAGAGGTGACCAGAAGTGTTATGAGTAATGTTCCTCTTCACTGTGCTCTTCGATGACCTGACTGTGTGGCAATGTTTCCTGCGAAGTTCGGATAGCATATGAAGAGAAGTGTCGTCATGTATGTTCCTTTGCCACGTGGTGTTCGATCAGCTGACGGAGTCGGAAGGTTTGCTTCAACGTGAGCAAAAGTAGTCAACGCATGTCTGATAAGTAATGTACCAGTGCCATGTGTTCTTCTATCAGTTGAGCCTATTGCAACATTTAGTGCGAAGTAAGGAAAAAAGATGAACAGGAGTCTTATGAGTAAGGTTTCTTTTCGCTGTGCTCTTGGATCAACTGACTGAGTCGCAATGTTTCTTTCGAAGTGCGCAGAATATATGAACAGAAGGCTCGTCATGAATGTGTCTTTGCCATGCGATCTTTGATCAACTGGCCTAGTCCGGACGTTCGCTTCAAAGTGAGTAAACGAAGTCAACAGAAGTCTTATGGGTAGCGTTCCATTCTCGTGTGATCTTCGATCAGCGGTGCCAGTTGCAACATTTAGTTTCAAGTGAGGAAAAAAGATGAATAGAAGTCTTGTCACGAACGTTCTTTTGCACTTTGATGTTCGATCAGCAGACGGAGTAGCAGTGTTTGCGTTGAAGTGAGCGAAAGAGGTGAACAGAAATCTGTTGAGTAATGTTCCTTTTCACTGTGCTCTTCGATCAGCTGACTGAATCGCAACGTTTGGTTTGAAGTCAGCAAAAGACGTGAACAAAAGTCTCCTTATGAATGTTCCTTCCCCATATGGTCTGTGAGTAGCTAAGTGAATCGCAATATCTGATTCGAACTGAGCAGAAGAGGTGAAGAGAAGTCTGTTCACTAATGTACGTTTGCCATGTAATCTTTGATGAGCAGACCTAACCGGAAGATTTGCATCGAATTAAGCAAAAGGGGTGGAGAGAAGCCTTGTCATAAATGCTCTATTGTCATGTGATCTTTGATCAGCTGACGGGCGCGCAACGTTTGCTCCGAAGTTAGGAAAAAGGGTGAACAGAAGTTTGATTAGTAACGTTCTATTGCCATATGATGCCCAATCAGGTGACTGAGTCGCAACGTTTGCTTCGAAGTGAGCGAAAGAGATGAACAGAAGTCTGATGAGTAATATTGGTTTACCATGTGATCTTGAATCAGCTGTGTAAGTCGGAGTGGTAACTTCGAAGTGAGCAAGAGAGATGAGCAGAAGTCTTTTCACGAATTTTCCATTGCCATATGGCCTTCGATTGGTGGAGCGAGCTAGAACGTTTGCTTCGAAGTGAGTAATTGCGGTGAATAAAAGTCTCTTCAGGAAGATTCCTTTACCATATGATGTTTCATTAGCTGAGCGGGTCAAAATATTTAGTGCGATGTGAGGAAAAGAGATGACGAAACGTCTCCTTTTGAATGTTCCTTTGCCGTGTGGTCTGTGATAAGCTAAGTGAATCGCAATGTCTGCTTCGAACTGATGCAGAAGAGGTTAACAGAAGTCTTTTCACTAATATTCCATTGCCATGTAATCTTTGATGAGCTGACCGAGCCGGAAGATTTGCTTCTAATTGAGCAAAAGGGATGAAGAGAAGTCTTTTCAGGAATGCTCTGTCGCCATGTGATCTTTGATCAGCTGACCGAGTCACAACTTTTGCTTCGAAGTGAGCAAAAAGGGTAAACAGAAATTTGATTAGTAACGTTCGATTGCCACGTGATCCTTAGTCAGCTGACTTAGTCGCAATGTTTGCTTCGAAGTGAACGAAAGAGGTGAACAGAAGTCTGATGAGTAATG